GCCGAGCAAGGGGTCTCGGGCTCGATTCCCGGGTCGGGCAAAGTATTACTGGGTTTTAAAAAAAATCTCAGTAATAGCACGGAGTCTGGGACTGTGCCCGGTATATAGCAATAGGCTCACCCCCCACTACATGGGACTCATAACATAAATCGTGAAAAGTGGGTGTTACATTGTGCATTGGTATAATGTGCACCTCGGCCTACCCCTTCGAGGATAAAAGGCGTGATGTTATGTTATGAATTAGTTCTTTACAAATGCGAAAGTCTTTTTCATTTGTTTTTGTAGTAAAAGAGTAAGTTTTTCAAGGTCTTGAGTGCTAAAAATATTCGTTTAATTGTCTAATCGTTGGGAACATGGCTGTCATATAAATCTGTTCTGGCCGAGTACGAAATCTTTGATAAAAATTACGAAACAACAAAATATCTCAAGTTTTTCTATCCGGGAGTGGTTTTTAAGCTCAATTTGAGGACACAAATTCATTCCTTATGAACAAGAGGATTCAAACTCAACATCATTTATTTCAATTAGACCAGAAAGGCACTTTTGAACGCCAACAACAAAAAAAAATCTTAAGACGTATTGCACAAAACTACAATATACTATCTTTATTTAAAACTTTGGAAATACCACCGCTATATTAAATTGTGAGAGCAAAGCTACAAAACAAAACGTTCCCAAATACATATATAAAATTTCAATAGACACAACCCCACCTGATAGCAACAAAAACAACAATAGATAATGACATGCCCATAAAGTATTATAATTGTTTACAACATTAAATCGTAAAACACATGTGCTACTTGATGGACATGTGCGGGTTTTCATTGTCACAGATTATTCCATTGTCACATATTGAAATACTGATTGTATCTAGATGTTATCTGAAACAACTGTCATTAGCTGTAGTTTGTGATTATTGCACTGGGTTATTTGTGTGTACCGAGGAAGGCTAAAATTGTGACTGACCAATCAACGTACTACCTAACCTTTGAAATGGCACGGTGATACTCACAAGCCAGCTGCAGCTTTGTTCAACAGTAGATGTTTTCCATACTAGACTCCAAATTACGAATTATGAGAATAATCTACCCCTGTTCCAAATTTTATCTTGATCAAGCTGTTTTGACGTGGAGGAGTACTTTCGCATTTATAATAATAACTAGGTATTACCCGCGGCTTCGCACGCGTCACAAAAGGATAAAAAGTAGCCTGTGTGACATATACCAATACATACAGCGCCATCTATACCAATACTTTTGTTTTCCCTCGGGAATATCAAATTTTTCCGGGATAAAAAGTACCCTATTATTTAATCCGGACTTCTAACTTTACGTCTGCAAAAATTCAAAGTAATCGGTTTAGTAGTTACGGCGTGAAGTCGGAACAAACAAACAAACTCACTTTCCGATTTATAATATTAGTAAGAATAGGATATTGTGAACTGTACACACACAACATCGAATATGATCCATGCACTAAACTTTAGTTACAGTAGCAGTGTGACTAAATCGGATTAGTAATAGTAAAGTATTATGCCATTGATCAGATAAGGTATGGCCAAAAACTAGTTGTTCATGATGTGGGTCCCTTGCAGACTGTAGTGAGATCTTACGATTGTATACTAAAACCATCTTTAAAAATACCATTTAAGTATGCGATGGTACAGGTGCTTAACAGTTAACAAATTACCCTCCATAGAAATCGCATTAGATCGAAATAACTTCGTTTCCGGAAAAAGCAATTCAAAAGGCTTCGTCAGCCATGATTGATGAAGTCGACCTGCTTGCTGTCGACAAATGTGACTTGGAGTTTGTCAGCCATAAGTTATTTGGCTTGAATATGTTTTTCCTGCATAATGGGTGCGTGTCTATGTGATAGGAACATAGGTGCATAGATATAGCGACTGCAGTAGGTATGCTAGTATTCACAGGATGTGTGCTCGTTACTATGTGTGGCATATTAACCCGACTTCCAGCAGACACTGACAGGTCAGACGTGAACTAGCGAATGAATGAATGATATCAACCAGCTAACAGGCGAGTTTCCTTTAATAATTTGTTTTAAAATATTGTATTGATTGCACAAAATGTGTCAATATCGCGCTGATTTATTTAAAGAGAAGAGATGTTTTTCCAACTATATTGTATTTAATCGAAATTAAACCTATTGGAATACCCAAATCACAATTACAGCCTTCTGACTCAAACTGACCCAGGAATCGAACTATCTTGATCGGTGGTCACAATTGTCATACAACAGTAATTAGTATATGTAAAATAGTACTTATATCTGAATGTCTATCATAAAAGCACTTAAAGAAACAGACAGAGGTCATTTCTTAAAACGAATTAGGCCATTAGGCTGGTCTTAGACCTCAATTTAAGAGGTCAATTAACCAAAAGCTGAGAGGAATGTCGAAACCAAATGTATGAACAACTGTTACAAGATAATAGAATAAAATAATAAGAATAAATGTGCATTTTGCATGGCAACAAAATAAAACAAATGCGGTTACAATACACACTAAAGAAAAACATCTATACATATATTTGAAAGAGAAAAGATTTGTTTGCTGTAAAACTACTGAATCAATTTGAAAAATTGTGTCACCATCATATGCTTACTTTTCAGGCTTAATGGGTTTTATGCAGATATAGCTACATATATAAGACACTTGCGACACGCCCTTGCTTCGCACGCGCGCATATAAACCTTCCTTGAATCACTCTATCAATTAAAAAAAACCGTATCAAAATCCGTTGCGTACTTTTAAAGATCTAAGCATACGGACAGACAGACGGAGGATAGCGACTTTATTTTAGTTTTATACTATGTAGTGATGAATCCTGTATTAAATACTAAGGGGACTTCACAATAAAAAAATGAATAGCTACACAGCCTTTGCAAGGCTTATTTAGTCAGACAGCTTTATTGTCACATTACCCTTTTCTGAATATCATTTGTTTAACTATCATTCCAAACTCTTTGGGTAACCAAACCATTAGGGATTTCTCAAATGCATGAAATCCGCCTACATCTGTCCATTAACATATTTTATGCATCTAACATCCTTGACTCATATGCATTTCCATTTTTGCTAAAACATTAGGACATGCAATATGTTTTGTTTACACAGAATATAAATTTTATGTCCATTGCTATGTTAATACTTAAGGATTGCAATAAAATACATAGTAAACTGTCAATGAATTGTGAGCAAAAAGCCATTAACATGTTCTAGTGATAAAAAATGTCAAATCTGACACTTCAACATTAGTTTTCTCGTGATTTTACAACGAAAACTAAAGATATCTTAGATATTTATCTTGATCAAAATACAATCGAAGTGAGGTACACTCAAAATCCACTTATATGGTAGTGGTTACGCGTAATTTACTGAAAACACAAAGAAATCGTGTTTGATTAATACATTTACATACAGTATGATCTCATCGCGCTTATATAACTGCGTAAATTAACGTTAAACTAGACATCCTTAGAATGAAGTTAACGTAGGTACATGAAACTATTTCTGTTCATGATTCAGAGGCCAATTTTTTATGCAGATTAAAATCTCTGATTTGAAATGCTGCTATGATTTCATAGTTACGTATTAATGTTACATTTTTCTTTAAATAAGTAATGTATACTTGAGATAACTGTTATTTTAATAACAGCTTTTCGGATAAAGCTACGCGGCAGACCATGTAAAATATTCAATTTTAAGAAGTAGTCTGTTCACACATTTTCGGCTATTCTATGCTCAAAACGTTTTCCGCTAGTTAACCTGCACTTAGTTCAAAAGAAGCCATAAATATTCAACAATTTTTTTGGCAGAACAATTTACGAATTCAGCAATGAAACCTCTGTGTTAAGTTCACTAACGAGACCATTTTTTGTCTGTGGTAGCGACGGACCTGACCATAGTCAGTCATCTGTGTCCTAAAGCGGCAACGATGATGTAAACCAAAATACTATGGTGACCTTGACTGAGAGATTTGGGGCCTCCACTTTTATGATTACGCCATTAAAACCACATTTCAGTGTGTTATATGAAAGATATGAAGATTCTGCATCTGTTTTCCAATGTGACTGTAAAATTTTAATGATGTTTTTGATATAACGAAGGTTATGACAGCGGAAAACTACTTAGATCTCTGAAATATATTTGAGTGCATCAATATTTTATGAGCATATTACAATTTTACATGGTTGCTTTTATGTTTGGGTAAGTTTTATGGACATAATAGTTGGTATTATAGTTACCAAAAACATTTTGTTAATACCTACTCATCCTTGTTTGTTTCCTTATTATTATCTGTGGAACCTGTAACGGTGTATAGGACTTTCTTTTTAACGAAGACTTAAAACAAGTCAATTTTTCACACCATTTTTCCAGAAAACCTGTTCATACACCACGAAAATCCGTAAACCAACTTTTCGCACTAAAAGTGTACCAGAATTCTAAAATAGTGGCAATAAACCCTCTTCTCCGTGTCAGATGTCAGTGGGGTTATTATCAAAACATATTAAAAAAAGATTAATTCCCCGGGGTATTCCAGACTTGTTACGAAATGGCCGGCTATGTGGAACGTAAACATTGGTATATGGGTCGTTATTACGGTAACAGGGCAAGACTGTTTCTCACATCATAATCACGATGTTAATCTTACGGCTACACTGCCTACACTGTTTTTTTTCCATGTTTATTTACTTTTTGGAGCGGCTTAAAGTGTTCGCTGATAGCATGCAAGAAAAGCGAGTGTGTTTCTCAGAATCAGTTTTATCTAAGGAAAATAAACTTTGTAACAATCATAAAAAGTCTAGACTATTTTGACAGGACTAGAAAAAACCACGAGCGGAGACAGGATCATAAATAGTAACCGGCTACAGAATAAATTACACAAACGACCCGAATTTAGCAACCTCGCTTTTCCGTTCATTAATTCCGCAATTGGCGGGAATTTTCACACAGATAATAAAAGAAAATTATATACCATCCTCTTTTCCGGGCTTGATGCACTGTAAACACGACACAAACTTTTTCTTTTTCACTTTTTTATTAACATCTTTTGGCTTCCCATTAGCCAAGTCTTTCTTCAGATCCTCCTTTTTCGTTTTATTTTTTTGCTGTTTCACGACACCCATTTTTATCACGAGCTGGAAAGCGCGCGCTTTCCGATTTTTTTTATCAGGCGAGGGCGCGCGTTACACAGATGCGCGTTCAGAAACTAGTGCGGGACTAGCAACGCTAACTGCATACGCGTGCGGGCAAGGAAACACTGGCAGCCGACAATGAGCCTCTATAATGAACACCATTCGCGGCGCGCAGCAGTAGCACAGTACGGCAGTACGGAGCTCGAGTCGAGGTGCGGCGCGTGAGCTCACGCCCGCCAAATCGACCATCCCGATTGGGAATCAAGGCCAATTCGTGGATTAATATTCCGTGTGTGGCCACTTCCTAAACGTAATGTTAATTTCACTTAATTAATATTTCGGATATGTGTCTGTAACGTGAAATTATACTAACAGTTACGACTCACATACAATTTAAATATAGTTAGATGATAAAATGTTTTATTTTTATTTTGTTTTTGTAAGTACTTGAGTTCTATACAAAGGGCGTTCATGGTTTGGTCAGTGTACAGGAATGTGCCTAAAATAGCTGTTAATCAGTTTTTATGTTACTGTTCAAAGAATCTATATCCGGAACGTTGGGCAATCAATAGTTTTCCGCGGCAGGTATATAATTATAGTGGGCCAATGTTTTTGTATCAAGGGCGATACCATCTTTTGTAGTTATGTATTGAAACTAGGAAGGTCAAGTTTCGTGACCAAACGCCATTAGGTCACCGACACAAATGTAGTGGACAAGAATAATTTGGTAACGTTTTTCATTCGCACCTACGTTCAAGTTCAGCAAACTCATGAAGTCATGACTTTAGTGGTACTACGTACGTAAACACATCGTCTCGTGATTTTGTATGAAACAACAATAAAAATAATTTGGTCGGTCATTTTTCAAGTTGAGTTGTGTATGATTTTTTGTTACAATAGTCACAAAAGAAACAGTGCTTACTAATTTACCATAGCATAACATTACGTACGTCTTTAAGTATTTATCTTTACTTGGGTACTTTACTCTTCTATCTTACTTTACACGTAAAATACATGCATAATATATTCTAAATTCACCAACAACCCCTAAATCATGTCTTAACTAAAAGCTACTGAGCGTGGTGTATCACCTAAACTCACTTGTACTTTCAGGTGTCACTTATAAAATGGTGATTACCAAAAGTCGTTAAATATCACCTATCTAAGCTTAGGGTTGGAGCCGCGGAGAACCTAACGGGTTACCGGGGCTCGAAGTGCAGGAGTAGGAACGGGGTGGTTTTTAGCCAGTAAGAGTCTGACACTCCCGTCTCACCCAGGCGGGAGAAGTCATTCGATGATTTTCCCCATTAAAAAAAGCTTAGGTGTCCCTTAAAATTTAGGAGATGTTGGTAAAAACGGATATAAAATATCTACATAGTCTTTCAGGAAATATCATCGATCTGAGTACCTATTAACAAATTTATTACAACTCCCTAAGCGTCATTGATCAGCAACTAAGACTCGATACAAATATACGACTAATCGTAAAATCGCAGTAAAATTAGCGATTGACATTCAGAGTATAGTTTATTAGCATTTACGATTGTGTTATGCTAATATTACATGCAGGGGAAGTCGCGTGCGCATCTCTTGTAAGAAAGTTCTTTCAGACTGGCATTTTGTCGTGCGATTTTTTCGTATCTACCTGTTTTGTTTGCAAATGTAAAAAAGAAATAACTTGATTTTATGTATTCATATACAGTGTTTATGGTACAGTAGTTTGATGATTTTCTTTTATTAGTCTTTGATAGGTAATGTCTAAAACATAGTGACTGCTAAGCTGTTAACGACACTTAAGTCTATCTATTTTTTTAAACGTTGTCCCACTCTATTATTTTATCTTCGATCATAAAGTTTTAATTACAGAAAAGCCTAATCGAATCACGAAACAATGGTATGGAAACCGGCTACTCCAGATAATTCTAAGGTTCCTTAAAAAAACCAATACCTACCACACCACACAGTTAAATTATTAATTTTTTTTTTTATTATAAAAACCTGTCCAAAAAGTGCTTACTCAGAAGAAAACAGTACAAATTTCGCAATGTGAAACTAGCTTAACACAGAGTCTAGCCATCCATACATTATGCGCTATGCAAATCCCACTCTCTAGACGCATGCGCAGGACAGCACTGCGTAGGCGCACGTTTAAAAGCATATTTGTCACGGTCACTTTAAGTCTGTTATGTAGTCGGCTTCCGCGCTCAATGTCATGGTTACATACATTGACATAGGTAATAGCTATATAACAGTGTACAATCGACTACTTTTATAGGTGGACAAGTTATATTGCAACACCTATTTAACTTCAAACAAGCACAAAATTATAAATAATTTTTCGTAGATTTACATGATTTGTTCAGTACCCTTCAGGACGAAAAAGCCAGGATGGGCAATATTTAATGGATTTTTAATCGAAAGGCACAAATCCTACAACAACTGCTCATAGGTATTTGCGAAAATAAAACTGTATTTTTGATATCTGGACGCAAGAAGTTGAAAATAAAAATTATTTATTTTCCTCAAGTTTCTTCTTGACAAAAAATCTAATACACAATTAAAAACCAATATTGCTTAACCAATGCACTTGTATTTATTTACCCATACACCAAAATGTTTGCCGACTGTACAGCACACACTGATGCGTGCCAGTGGGACAAATGACGTCACTGATGTATCATCACACTTACTTGTATACTTATTTACTTTTATTATGTTTATATTTTGTGGCAAGGACATTTGCTTGTTATGTAGGGAAATTAAATTTGGTTTGTGGTATTTGACTACCGTGTTAGTATAATTGCTTAGAGTATGAGTTTAGTGTGGAATGGATCAACAACGGCTAATAATCTTATTTTAGAATTACTATTTCAACGGAATAACTCTTTGCTGAAGACTATTACGGGACATGCTGCATCTGGAATCTAGAAGCTTTGTGACACAGAGGATTACCGAAGAATTTAGAATGGAATTCTGCAGCGATTTTTGATTAATATTCGAATCACATAATATGTGTTAATTAGCAAAACGCAGCTAAAGACTTCCTTTTAGGATAGTAGGGGAAGGGCCAACGGCCACACAACCTAGAGCAGACGTACGTACGTACCTTATAAGTGACTAGCGTCACCCATGGACAATATCAGAGGAACTATAATAGCATTACTGGGTTTTTAAAATGGAATCCGAAATACCAATTATTACTAGAATGTGTTTCTCTTTCTTATTTTCCCTAAACAACTATTCATTTTATCATCATCCTCTGTTCTTTAAAGACTAACGGCAGAGAACTCTAAAAGTGTCATTAAAAAATTAAAATACATCGCCATAAGGTCTTCAACGTCAAACATATTGCCACAAGCACAAACATGTTATACATATTGGAATAACCTTCGTTTCAGAACTATGAGTCACACGTCAACACCGGGTCTAAAGAAAACATAATTATTAAAAGGTTTACAAAGTAAGTATTTGCTTGATGACGTCATGTTTATTAATGATTTTATTGTACCTTACTACCTACGTCACAGTGTATAAATAGCGGGTATGATAGTTTTAACATTGATGATCATCATTGATCAATGTTTTGTAGTGTCTTTTTGCGAGTTTTATGAAAATAGGACTTTCCATATTCGGGACTAGCATTTGTAATAGGACTCATGGAAAACTCGTAGTAAATAATATACATGAAAAGAACTTCCACATTTTCCCTAGAAAAGGGTAAATATTTACTTTCTTCCCAACAGAAAAGTAATTTATCAATAGAATAGGGCTTTGTAGTCTGTTCAGAGGGTAGTCAATGGAGTGACGTAAGGAGGTAGTTGTTGTACTGCCTGCTGTGTTTAATTGCAGCTGCTAAGTATCGAAAAACAGATGTCGCTTGCGTCAAAACTTGGAACAAAACTGCAATATTGACTTTTGATACTTAGAATATTCATTTACCGTCTCTTGCCTTTACATCGAACGCTTTGCCATAAAATTGTATACTTTAACCTTCAAACAATAAAACAGATTTTTAAATAGCTGTCCTATAAAACATATGCGTAGTAATCTTAACACCATGACTCATGGGTACGTTTGTACCGAAACCGTAGTAAAACTAGTACTCTCATACTCCGCTAGAGGGCACCACGTGTTGCGAGGTTAAAAATAATTTGTAAAGTAAATATAATTATATTCGTTAGTAGGCTAGAGAAATATTGCAAAGTTGAGTAATTTATGATAGGAATAATATATTTTGATGTTGTTATAACGTTTATGTCATGTGTAGTAATGGACATGACCTTGCTGTGGATGTAAATAATTATTTTCATTTTAATATTATTGTGATACAGCCTAATTTGAAGCATTTTTTTCTTATTATTTATTAAATATTTTGTTTTGACGTTCAAAAGTGCCTTCCTGTTCTAATTGAAATAAATGATTTTGACTTTGAGTTTGACAATATTACCAATACTTAGTAATAAAAATATCATTAACTAGTACCTAGTATTTTTGTTGAAATACATAATACGGTGAATAATAATAATATGGTGAATGTAATGTGTCAACTGAAAATAAAATAAAGAAATTTCTTCTCAGCTGACGCACCAGTAGTGCCATCTGTTATGTGAGCACAGAACTACATTGTTCACATTTAAACAAAGTACAACTAAAGAGCAATGATTAAAGACTAAGGTCATTGCTAAAAAGTGACAAAATTAAATAGGACGGTATACACTTAGAATCTCTCAACCATCAAAACCATTATTATAACACCCAAATATAATTCTGTTAGTAACACGAAATTACACTAGATGGCGTGCTAATTATATTGGTAGTAATTTTATTTGTTACGCGAAAACTGATTTGGTCTAAATTTATTGAAATAATGATTAGCAGTATCTTTTTGGTAATAATGTTTCATTATAGTTCAGTAAACGACATACCTAAAAGACATATCTAAATATATGACTGCATCCGTGGAGGAAAATGTTAATAATATTTACAATAAC